ATTTTTTAATCTTTTGGAAATTTTTCGTCAAAATTGATAAAATTTGATTCACTAGGCTTTTAGGGCGCTTCGCGCCCATCTTCTATTTAAATTGTGAACTTTTTGTTCTTTTTGTTTACATTTAAAAACAAAGAAGAAACAAATTTTGTAGATTTTTAAAAAAGAATTCGCGGATTTTCAAGAATTTATTTTTTTTTACAAAATTAAAAACCTTTAAAACACATTTTTTTAAATTTTTATCATTCATAAACCTTCCCTGTGGTCACGTGATGTCCCACAAAAAAATTGGGCCCGATCGGTTCAGCCGTTTTGACGTTTATTGGATAAAAACAAACAGACACCCAAACAGAAAAGCCAAATTTATATATAGATTGTCAAAACCTGCCTGAATAAACTGTTCAAATTAGTCTTAAATTAAATTTCTGTGTGAATTTGTATAGGGTCCGTAATATTAAACAATGTGATAACAATTATCAAAAAAATGTTGATGTTTTTTTATTTTCTTATTTTTCAGGACACCTTCTTAAATGAGTATAATGCACATGTATACTCAGCATTGCAAGTTTTTGCAAATATTTGTATGCAAATGGCATATTGTATATGCATGCAAATGCCCAGACAGGTTAAGGTATTTTTTTAAATTTTATTATTCAATTCTGGTATAGACACTAAACTGCTTGGAATTGTCACTTGGCTTGCAATCATCAAGCGAGGTGGTCGCAAACTTAAGCCTAACTTTAAGTTATGCCCAAAAGAGGTTTTACCTTAATAGGGTTTCAGAAGTATTGGCCTTGATATACTTGATGCCTTGGCTTTAACTGTTAAGTTCCCACTAGGGTTTCCACCGGAATTCCGGGTTACGGTTTACGTACGGAAATGATCCGTAGTTTATTGTATTTAAGTTTTCCAACAGAAAAATGGTTATTCAGTAAATTATTATTTAAGAAAATATGAATTTAATCAATAAATCAAATTATCACAACATTCGAGGAGTGATGTCTGTGTTTGGAGGTTTGTATGCATAAAGTGCAAATAATCTTTTTACAATAATAAATAAAAAATAGTATATTCCATTTTTTTACATGAATAGATACCATTATTTTATTTTTTATAATGTTATTAAGAAACTGAAAATTAACTGGAAGAAAATATGTGTATTTTTTGTTATTATATTATGATTAGAAACATTTTGTCGACTGCTATGGCAGAACAAGAACTAGATTTGATTGTATCTATAAATATTCATTATTTTTATCTATTTAAAAAGAAAGGAAATTTGTTGGTTAAAATGTATAAAATTAGCTGAAATTCTATGCATGTTGATAAGCATAATTTAACATCAGTTTGAATTTAAGACAAAAAGGTCATTCATTTTTAATTCAAATAATTCATCTAGAAAATTTTGAAAGAGTGGATGGCACTTTAGACTATAATTTTAACTGATTCAATCCATTTAAAAGTTTTTAGGTTTTATAAGGGTGTTCATTAGGATTTTTGGTAATGTTGACTGTTGGAGCTTTTCCTGGAACTATTGGAAACATGACGCCTTACTTTGCTTCCCACATAAGACAGGTTATTTACAGTTACTTTGAAACCTAGGCATTTTCTGCACTTTAAAAGCATATTACTTGTATGTCTGGCTTTTAAAATTTCAACAAATACAAATATCATTTTTTTCCATTTTCAACTCATATTGATAAAAAACACTATGATTTCATTTTAAAAATAGGTCAAATAGATGATGTTAGGTACTTTCCCAAAGGAGTTTTCCCAAGCGGCAACTTCCCAAGGGTATTTTCCCAAGTGGCAACTTCCCAAATGTGCAATTTGCCAAGTTCAAATTTCCTTAACAAATTTACTAACAGCCACAGCACTTGGCCCCCTAGCCACAGTGCTCAGCCCCCCATTGTAGCCTGCGGCACCTCAGATGCCTAACCTAATAATGTGCTATATTTTCTTTAAAACAAGTAATAGCCACAGCACTCAGCTTCCTAGCCCATCCTAGTCTCAGAATACATTTTTGCCCTTTGAAGAAAGGGTGTAGGCCGCCAACATGTTCTTGCAATAACTATAACTGAGAGAAACTGAATGAATTTTTTTTTTCAAGTTGCGTAATTTCTAAAAAAAAGTTAAGAAATTTGTTTTAAGGGCTTAAATGTTCATTTAATACTTTCTTCATGGGGAAAATGCTGTTTTTTCTACATTGGGAAGTTGCCAATTGGGAAATTGTCAGTTGGGAAGTTGTCCTTGGTAAAATGCCTTTGGGAAAGTACATAACACCGTTTGGACCAAATAGATGATATACAATTTTTTATAATTGCTTCAGTTTGATAATACTACAACTAACGAGGATCTTGGCATAGTTATGGCAGTGGGTGGGGTATTCCAGGGTATTGGCGCCCTTTTAGGTAATATTTTCTGATTGATACTGAAAGCTTAAGTTTTTTTTTAAATCCTTTTCTCTTTAAGAGAATAAAATATAATTGTATCTTCCACCACAAAACAATGGTTTATGAATTGCAGTTTAAAATCTTAAGATGCAGTTGATTGATTGATTGTTTTGAGATATAATCATAGTAATCATAGATTGAAGTAATGTGCACAAAATGTTAGTAGGGTCTGACCCCAATATTTAGCAGAATTATTATTATTTAGTAAAATTCACTGTTTTGGTAATAATTATAAATATGCACAAAACATTTGTTCATAACCAATGGGAAAAGTGTTGCTAGTAAATTGTTAAAAAAATGACTTTTTTTGACAAAACATTTGAAAATATATTTGTTTAGGTGGAAGTGTGATTATACCTTGGTTCGGATATAGAATAGCAATGTTGAGTGGAATACTAGTATTTTGCGCTGCACCTATACTTAGTTACTTTGCACTAAATCAGTCAACCCTCACAGCACTTGTGTTTTCGTGAGTATCTTTTTTGTAGAATTATTGTCAGAGTCATTTACTGATATGTCATCATTTTTGTTGTTTATATACAAAAGTAAAGTTCATGTACAGCATGTTTTTAAAGTTCTAACTAGAGTTACAAAAGTATAAAAAAAAAAAATTGTTTTTTGTTAAAAAGAAGTTGTTTAATTTCAAAAGAGAATTCTTTTTTATCTTCTGAGAACAAAACAATTGTTTTAAAAAAAAAAAAAAACAATTGTTTCTTTACTTTTTTTTAAAAACAAGTAACAACCCTAGTTTTGCCATGATTTATTTTAGCGCAATTCCTTATCTTAATTTACTTATTTAGATAATCTCAAAACACTTACTTAAGGTATGGCGTAATGTCGGCAGCAGTTGTAAATTTGATAATGATGCCCAGCCAATATATTCCATGTTCCTGGTTTCCTAACAGGTAAATCTACTCAAAGGCCATTGCATTTTTAGTAATATTGATTTACACTCAGATTTTCATTTTCCAATTTGTAGCTACTCGCATTTTGAAACCTGTCAGGAAAGTGAGAATTGTACTGGGTGGCATCCTTGTCCTGGAAAACTGATGAACTAATTAATCTATATTTTACAGTAAAATATATTATAATTTGTAATACAAAACAATTACTAAAAAAACAATTATTCCATATATTGTTTTGCATGGTTATTTGTTATTGTTTGATTTGTTTATGATGTCATCTTATCTACAGCTTAATTTAAGTTATTTTACATTTCTGGTTTATTTAGAACTACTATTTCCAATCAAAAAAAGATTAAAGTACTCTGTAATTTTTAGGAGTGTCTGTTATTTTAGTGTCAGTTTGTCATTAATAAATTCAAGTTTTATTTTAATTTTAATTTAAAAAAATGCTAAAAGCTGCAATAAATTAAAATTGTTGAGAACATCAAAGAAATTAAAAGTTTGGGGAATTGTCACCAATTTCAGAAACAGTTGTACTTTAGAAAATGTTTTACTTTGAAGGAAGATTAAGGTAATTTAATCCAAGCTCAATTTTGGTTACAAAAAATCAAAGCCAAGCAAGGGTTGTTTTTTAAGCAAAATTACTGAAGGGAACTGAAAATTAAATATTATTATGAAGTAGATGTACACAGTTTCATCATGTTAAGACAAAAAGGCATGACTTGATGTTCACGAAAACTTTGAAGAGTAGGTGCTTCAAAGGATGTTAGGTAACTTAACCTGTTGGAGGAATCAATGGTTGCTTATGTTTGTCGAAAGGTTGTTGAGTAATATTTGCCATTTACATAGTTTGCGATTAAGTTCAGATGATCAGATGATATCTATTGTTGGAGGTAAACATTTATTTTCATATTTAGATGACATCTCGCATTATCATGGGACACAGTGTGCACTAGAAAACTGTCAAAATACATTGTTTTTAAGGCATAAATGGATTAATGAGTTGCATAGGTAGAATTGTTGTTGGAATTTTGATAGACAGGTAAATTACCCTTCTTTTTTTAACTCTTTTGCATCAGTTTGGATCTTGATCATAAGTTGCAGATTTCAACTGTTCCCTAAATTAAAATTATTCACATTTCAAATTTAATTTAATTTCTGTACTATAGTTGATCAAAAATTGTTTCAAAACAATTTGGTAACATCCCTTTATGATAATAAACAATATTTAAAAAACCTGCAGTTTCCTACGGTAATGCTGATAATGGTCACCAGCCAGAACGGGTAAAACTAACAAAAACTGAGTCTTGTGTTTTCAAGGTTCTCCTTCAACTGTCTGATGCCCGCAGTTAGCGCAGGCATGACTCTTGTCACAATTTTAACTGTCCCAGTATCATGGTATTCATTCTGGGGGTTTGTAGTTCTACTTTGGTTAGGTTACTTCCTCTCCTTTATGCCACTTTATTACAGTTCCTTTTCAGGTAGGAAACTAAGTGTAAGCAAACATGTTATTAACAATAAATGCACAATTATTTTATTCACTGAACAGTTACTCAACCAAAAACCAAATTGAGATTGTAAATTTAATGGAAACTTGATATCTAGACAATTCCAGTTCTAGTTCTTTAATATTCATCCATTTTAGATAATGAAGATTTATGGGGATAAACAAAGCAGTTCAGTACTGGGGTTAGTAGGTGAGATGAATCTTAAAATATCAGATGTTTCTGTAAACTCTTAGTATCAGTCTAGTATGTTAAAGTGACTGTATACAGTGTAATTTCAAGTAACCCTCCAGTTTTAGTGGGTCTGATTTAAACCTTTGACTGATTAAGGATGTCAGACTTATTCTTATTAATCTACAATAATGCTTGTTTTTGAGCACTTTGTTTTAAAATCTATTTTTAATTAAAGAAATATTAGAATTTAAATCTATAAAAATTAACAGAAAATAAATAATTACACAAGTTATATCTAGTATTGTTAATCGTTTTCAAAAACGATCGTTAAACAATCATTTTTAAATCAATTTGAACTTTTAGAAAACTATTTGCGACCGTTTTTAGTACAAAATCGATCACTTTTGAAAAATAAAATTTATTGACAATTATGTCAACAACCGTTAACAAAGGGTCCTTGTTAACGATCGTTACCGAAGGGTTGTCGATAAAGATCGTTAACGAAACAATGAACTTTATAAAAAGGGTAGTTTTTGAAAAATAAATTTCATGCAACTTTATTGAATGTCGTTTTACATGAAGTAAAACAGTTGTGGGGGAACTAAAACTTCTTGAAATTTTCTTAAAAACTTCTCAATGATAAGCACAGATGCCCTTCAGGTCGGTTTCTTCTCTTCGTTAAGGATTGTTAGCAAAGGGTCGTTGTTAATGATCATTAATGAAACAACGAGTATTAAAAAACGATCGTTTTGAAAAACTATCGTTTATAAAAACGATCATTTAAAAACGATGGTTTCCTTTTCGATTTTTCGTCGTCGTTTTCAGAACGAAACGATAGTTTTTCAAAAAAACATCCCTAGTTATATCAGCTGCATTGAGTTCAAACTTTATGCTAGTGTACATGACAAATCTATGGCAATTTAAACACTATTTGGGAGATATACACATATGGAACTAACTGTTCTTCATCAACATTCAAAAAAGGGTATTGTTGTAAATCAGACAGTTCCATTTTTGCATGGAGGTTCACTGAAAGTACACTTACAGTCATTATAAACATTAAATATTTAACAAGGTGCTGTTGATTCCCTGGCTTATGCTACTGTTGGACTTCTTAACTTGGCTGTTTTTTCATTTACAGAATCCTTTCTACCATATTTCTTGGGGTAAGCTATCAAATACATTAAGTATTAATATAGTTTTTAACATTTTTTTTGTTTAGATTGGCTGGATTTAGTTTGATAACAGTAGCAGCCAATTATTATGTAAGAGATGAACTAGTAAGTAATTCATTGGAACATTTACAAACCTCATAGCTTGTAAATTGTAATTCATGTATGAAACTTTTGCAAAAATATTATATAAATAATGTTGTATAAAAATTTTTTTTTTGTCAATAATAAACCAGCTGAAACTGAACTTAATTACACAAAAGGCATTAAAATGTATTGAAATGTGTTTACTTGCAATAAATATTAAGACATCGACTTGATTGCATCTTTAGATTTCAAAATTATCTCTGACTTTTAAATTTTTTTCCTTTTTAACTTTGACAAAAACAAGAACCAAATGTAAAATTAAAAACATTGGGAAAAGTTTGATATAACAAAACTGTTTTACTTAATTAGGAAAAAATAAATATTGTAGTAAAAATAAGGAAAAAAGGAAAGAAAGAAAGTTATACAAAAAAATGCAGTGTCCATATTTAATGTATTTGAGCCACGTCGCAGTTCCGCCAAGAACCGGTTTCAATTGAGCACCGGCTTAAATCTTGTAACATTGAATAAAATTTAAAGTGGAACCGACGATATTTGAGCCTTGTCTCAAATTTAAGCGGCAGCTCAAATTTCTAAAATTCTGCCTCTGGACAACATAAAAATAAATGATATTAATGCTAGGTGTAGACGAAGATAGGTAAAAAATTTGGCTCAAAAAGATCCAGGATATGGATAAAGATAAATTGACAAACAGAATAAAAACGAAAAGAAAGAGAGACAGATTGGTTTGGTACAAGGTTGACATATTGACACCTAACACCCAGCTTAATCAATCTGTAGACTGGCAATGGATTTATATTAATCTCAACTGACCAATCTGCCAAATAACAAGATAGAAATCATTTATACCATACAACCACAAACGTTGGGAATATACAGAAAAACTCTTAAAGCAAGACATTAATTATCAAGTACTTTAAACAGTGTGAGTTGAAAATAAAATTTTTTCTATTTATATTGACTATATGGGGGGGCGGGNAATCTGTTCTAAGATTATTGATTAAATCCATAATTGGTGGCTCACTTGTGCATACAAGTAAAGAAATAATTGAAATTTATTTTTAAATTTTTTTTCCCAAAATAATATGATTATGTGCTCTAAATTTAAAGAGGCTGGAGTACAATACGGCCAATATTCTTCCAAATGCATTCCATACAAAAGTGAACTTTTTTTGCCACTCATTAAAGGTAGAGCTGAAAACTTTATATACTGAGTTATGTACCCGACACACAACAGTTCCATTCAAAGTTTTGTCTGATCAAGTATAAATTAGTTTATAAATTTTAAATCTAATATTTTTCCTCAAAAAGTTATCTTCTGTAGGAGAACAGTTTAAGAATTATCAAAATTAAACCCTTTAGAAACTAGAAAAAAACTGGGAAGGTGATGGGAAATTGGGGGTTGCAGATTGTAGGAACTCTAAGCTAAATTCCAAACGACCCTCCATTTCACAACGGGCATACATGATGCACAATGGTACATTTTTTGATTCTTCAAAAGACGTTTCTTTTCAATTGGGTTATGAATTATGTATCCATGTTTTTGTTTAATGAAAACTGATTATTGATGATTTTTCTACGAAATTAACCTGTATATTTCTTGCTCCAGGCATAATAAAGAAATTATCATAATGTAACATGTACCATGCTAGAATAACGACATTTTCATAAGGATAATCCGGAGAAAGGTCAGATGCAAGTTTAACGAGATGTTATTGTTTGTAAATCAGTTCTTATCTAAGGTGTATAACGCCTACAGTAACAATTAAAACATTAATATTTAAGGTTTAATTGTGAGCAAACAAGCAAAATTTTGGTTCATATTTCTATAAAGATTTTCAAAATTTGTTTGATATGGCTGTAACTATCTATCTGTATTTATGTAAAACTGTGTTTTTTTTTTTCTGAAAAAAATTGGCTATTCTGCTAATTAAAAACAAAGGTTTTTGATTTTTTTGAATTTTTTATTATAGTTTATGGAATTTTTTAACTGTCAGGGTTTGTCAATATACCGTTCTGAAAACGTATCCACTCCAAAAGTAAGAGTTTTGAACGTCGAATTTACACTCAAACTCAGGATTTACAGATCTTTAAAAAGTTTAATATGTCTCAAATGAATCCGAAAGAAGATTTCTACAACACTGCATACTCATTACTCAGTTCAACTACCTTACATAGCCGGTCACTCCCTCTGAACTAAATAAGTCTCTGCTAAAAGCCCAAGGAGTATAGCAAACCACAGAGTCCACCTGTTCCGCCAAATGAGTACATGTTTTACCCCCAAATGTTCTTGTTTTGGTAACTATACTTATAAATGTAATACAAAGTTCTTCTTTGTTATAATCTTTTTCTATCTTGCAAACAAAATATTTACCAAATTTTATTGATGTTGTGAAAAAAATTCACCAACTTTATAATTACAATACCTGGCCAAGTCTGACCCTGGTGCCACCTCTATCAAATTGTATGCCAGTGACCAGCTGATTGTGTGTTTACATACAGGGTGTCCCACGAAACATGACAGTTGATAAATTGTTTAAAATGTCTTCTTCCATAATAGTTCGAGTTCTTTGTTGCCAAAAACAATAAAAATAAATATTTATGGCGTAAAATTGATGTCAATGTAAAATATATTTGAGTAAAGTTTTTTAAAATAAATAAACTACAAAAAGTCTTTAATATCTAATACAGCATATGGAAGAAGACATTCTAAACTATTCTACAACTGTCATGTTTCATGGGACACCCTGTATTAGCAGGGTAGATACTAATCAGTTTTTCAGATTTACAATTACAAGATCAATTTAGATAAAATAGCAATCCAGAAACTGAAAGAGAGAAAATAATTTTTAATTTTTTGTTTCTTTTTATTATCTCTTTTAATTATTATCTCTCGGATTATATCTCTTTCCCTCTCACTCTAATGAAACGAATTGTTTTATCAATCAAAGCTATCAGTGCAAAAAATGCCCTTTTAGGCTAAACATATACAATATTGTTAGCTAAACTTTAACCCTGTCTGTGCACGGGCAGCCGTAGTACATTTGAATTTCCGATCCGGGTCAAACTTTCAGGTCCTAGTTTGCACTGTACCTATAGTTCTATGGACAGGACTAGCCAGTGCAACAAGGCTGACACGGTCAGACTTTATGCTTTATCTAGGTTGAATTTACTTTTATTAAAGGGGTAGAGGTGCGTGTGTGCGGTTTTTTCTCTAAAACTCAAAAACGGCTAACACTTACGGATGGATCGTTGTACTTTAATGAAAAACTAACCAATCCTTTCAACCCTAAAATTTGACTGACATAAAGAAAGCTCTCTCCACCCACCTCTTTATGTTAAAGAGCCCATATCTTGTAAACAACACAATGGCCGATCTTAGCTACGAATGTTCTCATAATCTATCAGATAAGAATATTATAGAGATACCTAGCGGTTGAACAATCGGTCACACAATATAGTTAGCAGGTTAGATTTGTCCTGAACAAAATTAGTTTCTAAAAAAAATATTCAGACAAGCAAGTTTTAAAGTAAATAATTTATTTATTTTTCATTAACCAATTTGGGTCAATTTTACTTATTTATCTGTTAGTTAATCATGAAACTAACAGCTAAGAAATCCTCCAAAATGATTTTCAGATACAACTACAACAGCGCCAAGATCTTTTCTTAGAACACACATGTTTCCTTCAGTGTCATTGGAGTACCAAACAAAGTGAGTGCACTCAGAGTTGGTCTTACATCTACAGGCACATCCATAGGGAGTTTCTTCAGAAAATACTAAACATTAAACATATAAAAAAGAAAATAGTTTTGTATGAAGAATAAAATTTATTTTGGGAATAATCTTTTATCTATATATTAATTTACTTGGGTGTTTGTTTGTTTGTTTGTATCCAATAAACGTCAAAACGGCTGATCCGATTTGGCCCAAATTTGGGGTGGGACCTCGCATGACCCCAGGGAAGGCTTATGAATTATCAAAATATAAAAAATTTGTGTTTAAAAGTTTTTTATGTAAATTTTGAAAATGCGATAAAAAATACTATGAAATCCGCAAACTTTTTTATTTTTGTTTAATACTGTACAAAGCCTAGGGAAGTTAACGTTTTCATTTTTTTTGAAAAACGATCGTTTCGTTATAGAAACGACAATGAATAATCGAAAACGAAACGATCGTTTTTTAAAACAATAGTTTTTCAAAAAGTTAGTTTTTTAAATATGGTTGTTTTTAAACGATCGATTTGAAAAACGATCGTTAGCGACGACCCTTTGTTGACGATCGTTAACAATGACCCTTTGTTAACGATCGTTAACAGTTTGCAATCGAAAAGTTTGCAAAATAAAAAAGGAAGATTTTTTATGTTTCAGATTATATCAAAACCTTGTAAGGATAACTATAATGTTTAAGAGAAAATTTCTGCCAAAAAAATGTTATGTCCTGTAAACCAAATTATAGTATTATAATAACTATTTATAACACTGTTATTTGGTTCACGGTGTTATAAAGTTTTTGACAGAAATTTTCAAAATACTCAAAATATAATCTAAAAAGGCGAAAACTTTCGAGATATACAAAAAATTTAAGTCCAAAACTTTAAAGCACGTCGTACCAAAATAATGGTGTTATAGGTAATTTTATGAAATGTTTGTGTACTTGTCTTATTTCAATGGCTGTTTCTAGATCAAATAAACTTTGAAACAAAGCAGAAATCAAAATGTATAATGTTGATTTCAATTTTATGTTCATTTCAATTTAAAAAATATTTTGGAAATATCCTAAATTTTTTGGAGAAAATCAGGGAACCAATCAAAACTTTATACACACGTGCTATAATGTACAGCTGATTTAACATTATAGCACGATGAATACTTTATAGCACGTTCAATATGAAATTCACGATGAAGTGAGTAATAATGATATAGTACACTATAGTTTCAGAAACAGTTTTTAAAATGTTTATCAAACTTTTTTTCCCTAAATTAACGATTCCAATTTGCATGCATTTTGCTGGTATGCAATCTAAAAATAATTTTTTACATCAAATTATTATTTATCACCCCCCCCCCTTCTCCTTGTTGTTTCTCATATAAATTTGGATTTCAGTGATCAATTCTCCTACTTCATAATATATCTACACAATTTTTTAACTCTTTTTTAGAATAAATCGAAACCAAAGATGTAAATTGTATAGTTTATGAGTTTATGT